AATAAAAAATTAACTAAAACTCTGACGACCGTTATAGACAGGAAACATAACCTTTTAATCATTATTAATTTATTGTAATTGTTTTTAAAAGATTTTTTTATTCGGTATTAGTAAAGTAGCCTAATCAAAAATAAAGATAGGTACCTACTTTAATCTCTATAAACAGGTTGGGTTTTAATTATTATTATCAAAGAATACTTAAGTACAAAATGTAAGATAATAAAGTATCGAATCACAATGAACCAATATTATTGAACATTTGTTAGTTATTTTGTTTGCAGTCGACACATGTGATGCAAACAATGACACACATTACATTCAATTTTTATAATATTATAATTATACTTATTTACAAACCGTTATTAAATAATATGGGAATGTAATATCGCATACTGACAACTGATCAAGAAACTTATACCTTAAATTAGAGCTATAATACCACAAAAATGTACCTTGAAGAGCAAAATCAAATCGTGGTTGGTCTACCTGATAACACCAGTACGCAAAACCGACCCCAGTTTGGGATATTTGAAACTGATTACGTGGAAAGATACTCTGTGGAAACTGATTACGAAATTTCGGGGGAACTTTTATCTTGTAACTTTACAAGATAAAAAAAATATATAATGTCATTTGATTATAATTTAAATTTTAAGTAATGCTTTGGATTGTTGTATGATTTTAATTTAATTTTATTTGTATTAGATTTGATTGTTGTGTTGAAAATTAATTGTGGTTGTGTCACACTTAATGAATTTATTATTAATAATGTAATGATCTAATAAGATAGGTCCATTTTTTAATTTTATTCAATTAGAATATAATTATGATTATGTTAATATTTGCACGCCATTAAAATGGCAGATTACACTGCAACATAATTTTTTAGACATTTCAAGATTTTATGTTATCATTATAAGAAAATAGTTTTTTTTTTATAATGTATTAATCTGGTAATGACATGGTTTTTGTAAATGTCATTACTCCTATTAGAGCTGGTGAGTTTCTTGCTCGTTCTTCTTATCAGCCAAAAGACGTCCTGAACGAGTGGTAGGGAAAAAAATTTTGGACAATTCAAAAGTATTTTTAAGAAGTCTATTTGAATAAAGATTATTTTGACTTTTGACTTTGACTGTAAACGTGTTTTCCGCGAATAAAATTATTTATTTGACAGATGATGTATTTCTATTGCCGCTGTAACTATAAATAGAATAAAATAAATATTTAAGTGATCTATCATATTTGAAAAACTTTGAATTCACAATGCCAGAGAGTGAGAAAGAGAAAATGGATTTTTAATCATTTTCCATTAAGAATATTTAAGAGGTCTGTAAAACAAATGAGATTTTTATGTTTTTTTATTTTTTATTACTAAACATTATGAACTTTGTATTCCCTAGAAATTATAAGAAACTGTATTGGAGTGATCACTGCATCTACATAAATATGTATGTATTGTGTAGGTTTAAAAATATCTCTTTCAAGAAGAATGTATATTACATCAATCATAATGAAGTTATCTAGTAACAATACTCGGTCATTGAGGTAAGATTATTTTTTGAAATCTATGTTTGATCTGGAATCATCAAAACACAACTGGGTATTAAATGTAATATTACATTTTCTCACAATGTTTATAACCGCATTGTTCAGAAACAAAATCATTCACAGTGCCAATACTAAAGCATTTATCGCGAGCAATATGGTGATGATTATAATAAAACACGTAAAAAATAACTATATTTACTTTTGATGAGTGTTGCAGTTACAATGTTATAATGTCATTTGTCATTTATTGTGAGTTGAAAACAAAATTTTTGACTATTGGGCATTATTTTCATTAATAAGAGCACAGAATATGAGTCTTTACTGCTACCAGACATAACCATCGCTTCTGATTTAAATTTTAGATTGTAGCAAGAACTTGAGATTGATCAGTAGAGTAATGTAGTCTTTCGTCATGATAACGATAGACCACACACATTTGAATCGATCATCAAAAATCCAGTTGGTTTATAATTGAGATTTTTTATGATAATCGTAATGGGTTATGTTGCGACGTATAATGATTTAGAAATGGTTTTTACAATTCACCTGTAAATGATCGGCTAATTTGTTCCCATCTAGGCTCTTACTTTTACGTCGTGACAGTTAGCTTATTTTATCAATAACTTGCACTGTTCACTGCTATCCTAACTGTAGATCGAAAACGCCTTTTGTTAATATTTTAGCAATATTTTAATTGTCAAGGTTTCTTCCTATTCTTTTAAGGCAACTCATACTCATGCAACTCATAAGGTTAGGTAGGTACCAACACCAACGGAATCGACTTACCTCTTTAATAATTAGAGATCACATCAAGATCGCCCCACTTCTAGGACACAGGTCTTTTTTATGGATGATATCGAAGAGGGAGAATAGCCTACGACCCACCACGCAGGTCAAATACCCACGCATCCCGAGTGAGAATTAGTGAGTGTTAACGGCTTCAGATTCCGTCGGGACAAAGGAGCTATCAGAAGCCCTTAGGAGGCTTGATAGCCAAAGGTACCTACTTTGAAAACTCAAGGAATTATCGCTTTCATTATCGCATGTCACATCAAACTCTAGTGACATGATGCCGACCATGGCCAATGTACATAAACTAATTGTCACACGCGAGCCCGGTGAAAACCGGAAAATTAGTGACAACAGGATGGAAAAAATAAATACTCTTTCGAAGTAGTTGCCGTTAATGTTACTTAATAACATTATTAAGGAAGCATAACCAATGTTATTCAGTAATTTAATTAAACTTTGTAGATTTGATAGTGGATATAGAACCTTTAAAAACTAGTGGTAGTCCGTTGGTCAAAACTCGTCAAATAAAAATGTTCTACGTATACAAAATTAGGAGTATAAAATGTTACCTCGCATAGGTGATGATTGGTGGTCTCTTTGAAGGGATTGTTTATTAAGACATAGATAAATAAATATTATGATTAATCATATAATGTATGAATATAATAAATGTGCTCATGTTAAGTATTTGAAAGTGTGTGATATATTTTTTATAAACTTAGGATCGGTGCAAATCTGACGGATAAGCATCTCATGGATGTACGCGCCACGGAATATCCGTCGAGTATACAAACTGCGGGGATGACTATCTAAAATTAACAGTTTTGGTGTTCAGAGATCGAAAAATAAAATTAACAGTTCAGAGATCGAAAAACGCATTCTCCGTCATATACGAACCAAATCCTGAATGATGATGGGTAATTTTTAATGCATTCTTTGTATATAAACTCATTAACAATCGAACACCTTGTACAATACCTAAGTATGCTCTAAATAGTTAGAATTCTATCGACACTTGTCATTAATTTGGCTCTTACACATGTGCGATTACCACGGCTTTTGTAAAATATTATACTCTTTTGTTAGCGCAACTTTCATTAAAAGCGGTGCACAAAGTTTTTAGTTCACGTATTATTATGAAAATACTAACAGGAGTTAATATCACTTCCATTTAAAATATAAATTATATAGAAATAAAGTTTTTAACTTTGTTTATTTGTGGGAATCTTCTGAAATAATGATCCGATCATGAAAATTCTTTCACCTGCGAGAAGCTACATTATATACGGGTGACATATTTTTTTGTTAGTCTCTTGCTTTGATGACCTGTCAATAATAATATTAATTACACTTGTTTTAACTAAAAGACTATCGAAAATATCGAGTAATTTATTAAATCTTTTGAAATATACAAAATATGTATTTCGATAGGTATTAAGCGTGTTTTAATTCGCTTTCACAAGAGCACCACAACTAAATTCCACATAAGCTGAAATTAAAAATGGAAGAGCAAAATTATATAGCTTAAAATAAACATTAAATAGATTTATACGTGATTTTAGTTTTTTTTTTCATGGGGAAAGTAGAAGGGCCCATATATGTAATTTATAATTAGAAACGACTGATGAAACGACAAGATTGTCTAGTACAGGAATAGGAAACATTAAAAAAACATATTTTTTAATATTTTTCTTATGACTTTAAGATAATGACTGAGGTCTGATTTGTTTTGATGACCATCCAAATGACCTGAATTTTGTTTCTCATAAGGTGACAGGCAAACCTGGTTAGGATTGAATTTAAAATCAATCGTGATTGTTTACTAATAATTAATCTGAAGTCATTTTTGACACTCAATTTCGCTCATTCCTATCACCTGTATTTGTCTCATTGACTGTCATGATGCTTTCGTCTTATTATCTTTTTTGTTGTTATATGCAAAAATATAGAAATAAGATTCTTGTTATGCAGTTCTCATGTGGTTTGTTCCTTAAACAAACATGTTGAAAATCGGACAGTATTCGTTGTTGAAATTTCTGAGTCAAAACTGAACAAAAACAAAATTAACATTGTGCGATACCTTGTACCGACAAAATATAGTTTAGAATAACCCCCAGTGCCCCAGTGCTGTGCTAAAGTGCAATGTTATGCTGCTGTACAAATTGTGTGTTTTGATAACAGTGACCCTATTTCGTAGCAGCACTATTGTTTGCGACAAAATATTTAATTGTTATTACAAATACCTATATTCGATGTATTTTAATTATATGTAGGCTTTTGGATTAGTACCTAAGTTAATAGATCATTGGTATTTTGATAATTCTTTGTCTGAGTTGTATTTCTATGCACGAATATTAGAATTATTATACATAAGTCGATGGCTGGCTCTTAACCAAAGTAGCATTTTCGACTTTATGTAGGTAAATGACCTACATTAAAAACCAACTTTGTCAAAGTCCAGCTATCATATGAATATCAGCTTTTAAAATTTAAGGACCTTTCTTGAAAAATTATGATTTTGCACTTCAGGCATATATATTTTGATGACATATCTATATATATCATATAATAACCTATCAGATTACACTATGGAATCGCTTTTGAAATGAAATAGGGTTACTTATGGCTTTTTCATTAGAAACTTTACGCTAGGTACTTACTTTTAGATACTGATGAAATCACTGTGGATGTCACTGCACTTGTCACTAACACAATACTGGCAACTAATATTATGAGTGATAAAGAGTTTGAATTTGGTACAGTTTATCGGTATTTAAACCGGGGTGTAAGGAGGGTGGGTCAGTGTCGCGTGGATGCGCCCGGCGGCGGTGTGTGCGCTACTCTGGGCCGATGCGTGCGCGCACGGTGCGGTGCGGTGCGGTGCGGTGCGGCCTGTTACCGCTGCGTAGCCGTCGTCGCCCGCCCTACGTTTGCGCACACGTAACAACAACCATTGTTGTAACTAGAGATGTATTCAGAATGTACACAGTTTTATGGTGAAAAAAATAAGCGAGCGCATTTGCTATTATTTCAGACATCGTATATTCGATTACTAGTCTGATCTAGAGGTCTGATATAAACATGTCTTTATAGAAATTTGTCATATTTCTTCACTTGATTTAAAACTATAATACATAAGGTATTATGAGAGGGTAAAGTTAAAAATCCATTTCAAAAAATTGATGTATTATGGTAACCTGATATTGAGCTAAATAAACATATTTTTTCTATCCACCACTGCCAAATTTTGATTTTAAATTTTTACTATGTACCTAAAACTAGTAAAAAAAATTAACATTTGAGAACCCTGTCAAGTCTGCCGAGGATCGATGGGCGTCTTGCTAGCCTTGTATGATCTTTTATGGGACAGTTACAAGAAAGCACGTTCATTATTTCCATCTAGATGTGTATTAATATTTAAAAAAAATAACTAGTATTACACTTTATTTTATAAACTTGGATGTAACACGAAATTAAATATACTAATGTTTAAATAATTAAACACTTATTACGATATCATTTAGGTTAATTATGTGTTTGACTTTAATATCAGGCCATATTAAAATAAACCATTAAATCAAAATGGCGACGAATTGGTGAGCTAATATTGATGACATGTTTTTTTTTTATCGCATCATAATATAAAGTCATCATCTTGCAGGTACAGGAGGCCGGTTATTGGATGGGTGACCAAAAATTGATTATCTCGATTTCCTCCGTGCTTCGAAAGGCACGTTTAGCCGTTGATCCCGACTGCATATTCAATCGTTAATACCCATTCGTTAAACGTTAATATCCACCAATCCGCATTGGGCTCGTGTTCTCGGTCATGGCTGATTCTCCCTAGTCGGTTTAATTCGAATCGATTCCATTTATATGGAAGGCCTAAGCCTCAGCAATGGGGACGTTAATAGACTGGTAACCGCCAGGGCCCAACGTGGATTGGAGTTGACTCCGGAGCTCTCCCTGCAGGATACCAGATTCTTCCCCTCCCCTATTGAGGGTTTAAAAAAAATTTGGATTTATGGGTATTAATGGCTAAAGCTACTTCTTAACTCCTTAATGACTCTCTTTTAAAGACACGAAGAAGCCTGAGAAAATATTATTTTGGTCACCTATTCAATGCCCGGTGTTTGCGAAAGCTTAGCCTATGCATCGAGATCCAAAACATCAAATAAATAAGCTATTGTGTTAACAAAAAGATACTTTGAATGTGTAATTATTACATCTGTGTAGTCACAGCCTTATGAAATTAAATGAACGTGAAGTGATTATGGAAATGTAATTTCAGTTTACAGACGATCTCGTGCGCAGCAACGTAATACTGTGATAAGTATAATTCTAAAAAAACAGCCTTGAACTCGACGACAAGCGCAGCGCTGTCGTCGCATGAAGGTTTAAGCATAATATCTACCTTATTTGGGCAAAGTAATTAAAAATCTAAATCATGGCTAATTTATTACAGAACAAACTTTCCATCAGCGGCTCCGCTCGCGCGGTCCCTAGGGAATAGGTTAGGGGGATAAAAAAGGACCATATATTCATTCAGACTTACAATTATCCGTAGGTATATCAAATTTCATAGAAATCCGATCAGTAGTTTTTACGTGAAAAAATAACATACACACATCCATCCTAACATACTTTCGCATTTGTAATAGTGGTAGGATAGCAAAGCTGACATTCTACGTCCGGAAATCATTAATCTTCCATCAATTTAGAACTTCAGTAACAAATTATAACTGAATTCAAGCCTCTTATGATATTTATATTTTAAAATATATAGTTATGTGTATGTGTATATTATTATAATATGTAATGTAATATCAATGATATTATAATAATGAAAATTATAATAAAAAAAATGAAATGTACTCGATAATTATTTGTACAGTTTATTTATTTATTTATTTATTTATTTATTAGACACAATAACAGTTTACAAACCAAAACCAATACATTTACATAAAGACATTACTAGCAACAAGTAAGCTTGCAACCGATAACAATTGTGCACAGCATTCAAATATTATTAGGTTAACATAAAATTCACAATTAATAATCCGATTTATTATGAATATATATACATAATTTAGATTAAAATGCAAGTTCAGAAATACATGATTGCAAATCATATACAAAATTAAATCAAAACAACATCATAAAAGCAAAATTAAATAGATGAAAAATTACATTCAAGTTAAGTTTTAAATTAAGTAATGGTCAAAACACTTTGTCCTTGGCAGTGTACCTTTACACTTTTCATAAAGGAAGCAAAACATTGTTGGAATATGTCCACTTCAGTACTAATCTTATTATAATTTCTGCACATGCGATAAAGAGGGTTATTGTAAGAGACATTATACGATGTTATTGGTACATGAAATAATTTCTGAGTGCGAGCTCTCCCTATTATGAGTGATACCATGCTCAACAACTCACCAGTATCCCATTTTGCATTTAATAATTTATAAAAAACTGCAAAGTCATTTAAAGTGCGTCTATTGTGTAAGGTGTCCATTTCAAAATATCGTAGTCGATGTTCGTAAGATGGAAGTTTTCGCCTTAAGCCCATTTTAGAGCTAAGATGTTTTAAAAACCGCTTTTGGATTGCTTCGATTCTATTCATATGTACATCATAATACGGGGCCCATATAACCGAACAGTACTCTAATACACTACGAATAATTGCATTATACATTAAAATAATGCTATCTGGATTCCTAAACGGTCGTATAGTTCTGAACAGAAAACCTAAAGCTTTATTGCATTTTGATACCATGTACTCATAATGTTGTCTGAAGGAAAGGTGATCATCTATCCACACTCCTAAATCCTTAACTGCAGTGTCACGTTTCAGTTCCTCCTCTCCCACCTTATAAGAGTAGATTACTGGAGTTTTTTTTCGACTGAACGTTAGAAGGTGACATTTACTAACATTGAGCGTCATGTTATTTCTGTGACACCAGTTGGACAACAGGTTAATATCATTCTGAAGCGCTACACAATCACTATCACTAACTATTCTATTAAAAAACTTGATATCGTCTGCGTATGCAACACACTGAGAATTAATTAAAAGCAAAAGATCGTTAATAAATACAGTGAACAACAGTGGACCCAGATTGGAACCCTGTGGAACGCCAGATGCAGGCACAAACAGAAATGACTCATATCCATATACTGTCACCAATTGAGTTCTATTCATCAAATATGACTCCAGCCAACGCAACAGGCTACCATGTATGCCCAAGTGATTCATCTTTCGGCAGAGTATCTTATGGTCAACCCTATCAAAAGCCTTGGCAAAATCAGTATACAACGAGTCAACTTGCACCCCCTGGTTCAGCGCCACACTGATATAATTAACATATGTGAGTAAATTAGAAGATGTTGACCGATTCTTAACAAAACCATGTTGCCTGCAGCTGATAATGTGTTTAACATGTGAGTATATATGTGAATGCAGCAATCCTTCAAAGATCTTTGCAAAACAGTTAAGAACACAAACACCTCTATAGTTTGAAATCTCCGATTTTTTTCCTGTCTTGAAAATAGGTACTATTTTAGCTATTTTCCAACGATGCGGAAAACAGCCTTGAGAAAGACTCATATTGAAAGCCATTGTAAGCGGAGCCACTAAACCACGAGCACAAACACGAGCAAATACAGGAGGTATACCATCAGGACCTGAACCTTTATTTACGTTTAATGTTCTTAATGCAGATTCTACCTCTTTTTCTGATATCACTACTTTAGATAGACAATGACTAGCTTCCGGGAAGTCCGGTATGTAATTAGTGGTCCCAGAGTTACTATATACCGACGAAAAGCACTTTGCAAACAAATCAGCTATACCTTTCCCGTCATTGGCAGTCTCATTACCCAAGCTCATTACATCCGGAATATCATTGGTGGTTCTTTTAGATTTAGTGTAACGCCAAAACGCTTTTATATCTGTTTTAAGGGCTTCCTCAATATTGCTAATATACCCTAAGAAACATTTTTCTACAGCAATCTTGGCTCTCTTCCTCAATAATTTAAATGTATCCTCATCTCTTGGATTCCTAAACTTGTTAAACTTAGCATGATATTTATCTTTTTCTTTAAGCACATTAATCAGTTTATTATTGAACCAGGATGGATATTTATGCCTGTTAACTTTAGACTTGGGAGTGTTTCTTTCAATTATGTCGTTAAGGTGTTTATAAAACACACCTACAAATTCATCACAAGATATATTTTGATATTGTTCCCAGTCAATTTGATTTAGCTCAGAAATACAAGTCTGGAAATTAGCCCTACGATAATTAAGCCTACTGGTCACTCTCTCTTTGAGTGTACCTTCCAAATCGACTGCAATGTCAACATCCAGTGGAGGATGATGTTTATCAGGCCTAGACAAAGGCTGTGCCTCTCCAGTGCTACAAATTAATCCCGCCGAACTTAAAACAAGGTCTAATATTCTGTTATTATAATTTTTCACATAATTATTATTTACCAAATTTGCCCTATAAAGGAAGTCACAAAATTCCATCTCATTTAGATCACTTGAATTCAAGCTACCTGGTTTATTCCATTCAATGCCAGATAGGTTAAAGTCACCAATAATTAAAGTATGACTACAACAAGCATCAAGTATATTATTTTCGCATTTCTCCAAAAAATCATAAAAATCTGCTCCTACCACATATGAAGGACGATACACAACACATAGATTGATATATGATTCCATTAAATAAATTCTAACCCATATGTCTTCACCAAAAGTCTCGTACTCAGTCAAATGAAGTGATTTTAAAGTTTTCCTTATCGCTATGAGCACTCCACCACCATGTGCCTTTTTGTACCTATGTTTTAACCTTAAAGATCTGTCTTTACGATATACCGTGTATCTGTCATCAAATAATTCAGCAGAGTAAACAGTATCATCCAACCAAGTCTCACACAAACAGATTACATCATAATTGTTACACAGAATGTTATTATATAAATCAAGAACTTTAGATTTCACACCCCTTACATTTTGATAAAACAATGAAAGCGCTACCTTATTCATAAAAGTTGATGCAAGGAATAGTTTTATCATCATGAATTGTATAATACCTTATAAAGTCAGGAGTACACGGAATATAATTGGCAATCTATATACTTATTTGATCATCACCGGCTCATTAAACGACGTAGTAGTCTACAAACATATTATTATTTTAACAATATAGCCGCTCATTAAAATCTCCGTTACCGAGTGACTCGCACGCCGGTTTCAAAGCTTCGGTATTCGATTCCCGGTTGATTCAATTCAGAAAAGGAACTTTCTATATTGTCTCGGGTGTCACGGGAGTCCGATTGTTTCTTTATATCAGATTTCCTTACAACAAGTTCTTTAGGTACTTAACTAGATATCTAACCAATATATGGCATATATCAAGCAATGCTGTTTTCTTGGGTAGAGAAATTGACAGTCGATGTTCATGGAAAACACATATTAAGATAGTATGCACCAAAATAAATAAGTTTACTTATGCGTTATGGCGATTGACAATGCATATAAATAAAATAGTAAAGTAAGATAAGTAGAATCCAATCTCATATACGGAATACTTCTTTGGGGAAAATCACCGTACTTGGATAGGGCCTTTATATCACAAAAGTAATGCGTACGAGCTATATGTAAAATATACCATCTTTGACGTCATGTAAACAGTAATTTCCGAAATTGAACTTATTTACGCTTCCTTCGCTGTATATTTTTGAGTATCGCGTCTTTGTTAAAACTCGCCCGTGTCTGTTTACATGTAAACATATATATTCTACTAGAGGTAATCCTGGAAAGCTATTATTGCCCAAAATGCACACCGTCCTATTGAAGAGAAACTGTTATATCATATGATAATTTATAATAAATTACCTAATTCATTAAACTAAACCATTAACTAAACTTAATTTGAGTATATTTAAGAGAAAACTATCTAACTGGCTTAAAATTAAATGTTTTATTCAGTAAAGAAATATCCAAATAGTAAAATTTTAAAAGTTTTTATTATAAAAATAGAGGCCTATATGAATCGATTAGGTAGCTAGATACTAAATACCAACACACCGTTTCAAATGAAACCAACTAAACAAACATCAGGTGCGTCAAGTTTCATATTCATTCTTCTGATCGTTATAAGTATGACTGAATATTAAATTGTGTCATATTATATTTCAAATAACGTGACTCAGGGGTTTACACACTCATAGTTGTTCATGGTTTATTTTCTTTACTGTGTACCATTGTAATGTTAATCTTTCTCGGTATCAAAGTTTCGTTTGCAGTAAAACTTGAGGCGTCGTTTTGTATGTTAATATGATTTTAAAATTAGTTCACGAGTGGTGGGTTCTTTCCTTTAAAAACACACATGTTCTCAGAATAAATACAATGTTTTTATACAATAGAATATTTCTTTGTGGATATTCAAATTAATGCATCAAACAAAGAAAATATTATTTGTAAAGTAACAATTACCTATTTACAATTTATGACAAGTGAAACAATGCTATTCAATTCTCAAAATTAGAGTCACATAAATAACATCGTTGTAAATGTACAGTTATAATTTAAGCTGCTGAACACAACGGATTGTACGAATTTGCATATGTTATATGTTTATTGCATACGGATTTCTGCGTGCGTGTTGACACAGTCTGTGCATATGCTGACCTGAAGAGTCTGTGCATATGCTGATGGCAGATCTGTGATCAAAACTTAAAATTTTCGTATTTAGAAAATTATAAGAATTATTTAGAATAGGGATGATGACTGGGTAAAAAAAAAGCAATTCTAATTAGTCCGTCAGTCAGATAATAGAAAAATAGATACGTATTTTTTTACTTAAATTTAACAAGAAATAGCTTAGATAACGGACATTAAAGTTGAGGAGTGGGGGCTCGCTATGTCACAGTTGAGTAGAAAACGTACCCTAACGTGACGTCATGCGAAATTTCAACTCCATGTAATGCCGTAATTTTATGATTACGAAAAAAATAAAAAATACGTGTTTAATATCTTTTAACAGTCTACCTGACGGACAAACAAACAAAAATTAGTCATCATCCCTATTATAAGGATCGAGGAATAAGCGTTATTTGCATATGTACGTGGTAGATCACCTATTTACTCGATTTTTACGATTCCGTACCCAAAGGGTAAAATGGGAACTCTATTACTAAGACTTCTCCGTCTGTCTGACACCATGTGCGTCACGAACCGTGCAAATTCGACGGTTGAAATTTTCACAGGTGATATCTTTCTGTTTCCGCTTCAATAACAAAATACTAAAATAAAATAAATATTTAAGGGAGATCCCATACAAGAAACGTGATTTTTTGCTTGAATTTGATGACAACAACATGTAGATGCATTCCAGATTACACAATTCAATATAACTCTTAATGTATCTACTGATGTGATAGATTATGTACCTTCAAAATAACTCGATACTTCATCTAATAAACACAAAAACATGGTCGTAGACATTTATAATTCAAAATGAATTGTTGGGGGATTTCTAAAGACCGCCACTCTTTTCAATAAGTTAGGAGCTGATTATTAATACTTCCGGTTAACTTGTTATAACAGGTGTTAATCATTATCGTAATCAATTTGTAAATAACGTATAAAAATGACGTTTTGTTCCGGTATTTAGTTCCCTTCCTCTTTTCCAATCTTGGATGCTTCCTCCATGGTGTCAGGGAATTTGGAGCCGAGGGTCTCGGGTGTGATAAAGACAAGTAAGCCGGAGAGGAGTGCAAAGCTCGCGAACAGCACAAAAGGCAGTTTGTCCCAAACGGCGTCACCCTGGAATTATATTTTAAAATAAATAGTACAACATTTTTATATTGGTTTTATTATTTATGTTTCTTTATAGGTAATATTATCCTATTAATATTATAAAGGCGAAAGTTTGTAAGTATGGATGTATGGATGTTTGTTACTCTTTCACGAAAAAACTACTGGACGGATTTGGATAAAACTTTACAGCAATATAGGTTATACATCAGAATAACACATAGGGTACTTTTTACTGGGAAAACTTCTCACTCCCACGGGATACCGACTTCCACGCGGACGAAGTCGCGGGCGTCCACTAGTATTTACATATATAGATATTTTACGTTTATTTCAATCAAGCTTTGTCTGAGCGATAAAGTTACTTCTGGCAGTAATTTCAAATGCCAAATTACGGAGATTCGTTTTATCTTTAACAATGACGTATTTGTATGGGAACTTTCAACTTTTTTTTTTTCGCAATAGAAGGTAACCTGTTTCAACTCTATCTCAGTACACTGTTACTACTATTTAGGCGTGACAGCGACAGGCGGAACGGAAGAGTTACTTCGCATTGATAGTATAAGCAGGGATAATGAGATATACTACTGATGAGAAATAACTATAAAGTTTAATAACCACTTAAAACAGACCGAACATCACAAATACAAAATTTCGAAATTCAAAGAAAAATATGTATATAAATTATGTATTAGCAACGATGTCATTAAAGCGGTGTCTTTGCGATGATTTAAATAATGTTAACGTCATAAATATACAGTAATATTAGTCTGTTATAAATAACTTGGAAATCGCCGTCGAAATCAGCGCTGTCAAATTACAGCGTTGCAATGATATAAAACCTAAAAGTGCATTTTCGTTTATGTCGAAGCCGGATGAAAGTCAATTCAAATATACCTACAATAAATATATAACGATTCTTACCAAAGCGGGGGTGAGTGGTGCCAGAATAGAGCCTATTCTTCCCATCATAGAGGAAAAGGCGAACAGGCTGTGGCGGTACCTCGTCGGGTACAACTCCGCCGTGTACACATAGATAGACGTCATTACCGTCGCTATACTGTATGTACCGATCAGGTACAGCACCAGTGATAAGGTGGCTTGACCTGTCAATAGACAATCGTAAATCTTTTTTTCGCTAGTCTCGTTGACGGTGGCTTGATGGGAATCATTTGAACGTAGTTTATTTAAGTCGTATTCAAATAAATTATTATTTTTATATATATAAAAGCAGCAAAACCAGATTTTTTAAATACCTATTTGTTTTATTCCATTTCTATTGTATCCAAGAATCCACTTTAAATTATTCACAATTCTTACCTTCAGGCATAAAGATATATCCTATTTGACAGGCAGCACATATCCAGAAAGCCACTATGAGCACTGGTTTCCTTCCGACTCTGGGCAACAGCAATACCGCAGTCCAATATCCCGGGATCTGGGCGGCGGACACCGCCATATAATTCAGATACCTGTTCCCTGACATATTCACAGCATTGATGGAGAGACCATAGTATATAAAAGTTGTTGTAATCCACCAAACTGGTGATACTAAGCATCTGATCAATATCCGTTTATGCCGGAACACAAGCACAATTAGCCAAGGCTCATTATTTCTTTGATCTTTTAGTAACTCTTGATTCTTTTGCTCCTCTTCAGAAGTGAGTCGTAAGGCTTCAAGAGATTTCTCCGACAGCTGTTTTCCATTAACCCGAGCAATTGTTTTAAGGACCGACTCCGCTTCGTCGTAACGACCTTTACTCATGTACCAGCGGACGGATTCGGTCATGAGCCAGAAGTAAAATATTGTGAGGAGTTGAGGAATGTAGAGAGCGAGAGTGAGATTCCTCCAGTTGGGGACGCCCCACGCGATCAAGCCCATGGTGATTTGGCCCACGGAAAAGAAAGTGTTCATACTCGCCCCGGCGAGCACTCGAAACTTAGGCCCCACGACCTCCATCACTATAAATACGTACACAAATATTAAAGCCATGAAAACCGGCGAGTATGTATGGAAAAAGTAATGAAAGTTGACTAGGCGAAAGATGTGTTTATGTAAGGACAATATATTATGAAGACAGATAGATAGATATAATGTTTATTACGACATGTTGTTCCATGATATTCCGTTATAAAAGCAGCCTAGAATTCGACGACGAGACTAGCGGTGTTATTGCGTAGAGGTTCAACAAATAAAACCCACTTTGAAAATTTTATTTCATTGATGCTTTGACAACGCTGAACTCGACTTCGAGTTTGAGACATTTTTAACAGTAGCATAAATGGACAAGATCAGACCATTACTCTGAAAAAAAAATGAATTATTCGAAATAGGTACTAAGCATGGAAACCCATATAGTTTCGCCACGTCCGTCTGTCCGTTCGCCCGCGATTTAGCTTAAAAACTATAAGTACTAGAATGTTGTGATTTGGCACAGTAAACACTTTAATTATGCCGACAAAGTGGTAAAGTAAAATTTCGAAAAAAATCTTTTAGGGTACAACAGTTTATTTCGTCTTTTCCATAGAGTGGGCCATTGTTGGATAATTCATTTAAAAAAATTGGGGATGTGGAAGGCCATTTTTCGATTATGTAAACCTTTTGTAACTTATTAAGCTTTAAAAGTTAATTTTCATTAAAACTAAATGTCCCCCCCCTAAATGATAACCAACCAAATAAACTCTACCAACTAAATGATCGTTAGTAAAAATTCAAACGTTTCGGCAGTAGTACCTATATATAATGAAGTTAAAAGGGAAACTATCTTACTTAAGTTGACACTACAATTTTACGTCGACCAATATTTATAACTCGAAAATTTCGAACAACTCCATAGAAAACAAAAAACGGTTTTTTTTCCTTTTTTTTAATAGATAATGTTACGGAACATTTCATGCCCGACTCATACTTGGCCGATTTTTTAACTTTTAATTTTCAAATATGTATCTATAAATTTATTTATAATTATAAGCATTACATTTGCACTTCGTTTGATGTTATGCAGTTTGTTTGTGTTTCTTTTTAATATCACACGATTACACCAGATACATTCTGTTATCTAATTTATACCCAAATAAAAATATAAATGTCATTATTTTTGATACAATAAATAAACAAATATACATATTTAATCTGCGTAGGAAATTTATCTTATCTACATCTAGGACTTGGAATAATGTAGGTACGTATACCTAACACAGATATAATATAATAGCTATACTGGTATAGGTTAGTATATATTTTAATACCCAATATTGACAAATCATCGACAGATAAACAAATGGAAAGTTTGATGATAAAAACATTGCCGATTGCACTCTGAAAAGTTGGTCCTATCCCTCAGCCCTGCTGTTCTGTATAAATCCAGACCCGAATTGGAATTCACTCATGTGTCCGAATTCACGTCATTTAGTGTATAAATTCTTATAAGTTCATATTTTGTATAAAAATACAAAACTTCATTATATGTCATTTCGAAACTCACTTCACTTACCACGAAACGTTATTGCCAATTGAAGGTTAAGCGGATATCGCTTTTTAAAGTGAATTCAATTTTGGGTTTGGATGTACCAAAAACACATACATTCTTAACAAGCTGGAGTATAAAGATTGTTATTTAAAAAAACTTTAATTGCATCTTTATGTAATAGCAATTAAAGTTTTTTAAGTAACAATCTTTGAAAAAGTACAATTAAGATTGTTGTTAATTAATGCACATTAGACAGTGTGTCATGTGATGAGTACCTTATGATCTGATTTTTTGCCAATTACGATAAATACTTAAGATAATAATCACCAAGGATATAAGCGGTCGAAAATCCCCCGGAGCCAAAAGTTGACTCAGCAAACTCGGATATAACGAAACCGACGTAAGTGTCGGCGAAGTATCTGAGTGCGCCGATCCAGGCTGTGTTGAAGGCGTTGAGTGTGAGAGCTGTGCGGCGGCCCCAGCGGTCGGACACGAACCCGGTGATCGGCAGCGCAGTCAGGGTGCCGAACGTCCTGATGGAGCCGATTAAGGAACGACGCCAGTCATCGCACGCCAAGTCATACTGAAATGTATAGTAGATATATTATTAATAAATCGCGGAATATAATCAAACATTGATAGGGACTGTCATTGGAATAACTACGACAGCAACTTATGCACTTAGCGCCTACTTACAAGATCTCATGCGTCCACATACATATTCATATTATAAGGGCAAATCAAAGATATTCTTACATCATACACTACAGTGTCGGTATTCTGGTACAGGTGGGTCTCGCAACTGATTAAGTTGTCCCGGTCAAACCAGTACGACGGGCAGACTTCTTCAGACGGTGGCAGTACTGTCACATTACTGTACCGCTGACAACCGTCGAAAGTGGTGCTGCTGGTGTTCGGGAACACGTTCATGACCCACGATGGCGGTGGGGAGAATTCTGGCTCTGGTGAGTCACATTCCGGTATGTGACATCTGGAAGATAAAAAGTAATGACATTAACGCTGGTAGATTTTGAAACGCAGTTTCGACAGTGCGTTTGGTGACCCATCACTAACATTGGATTTCTCATTATTATGCAAATTCTTGGGGGTAGCTTAAATCTGTGTTTAGATATCATCGAGACTTCATTTCCGTAACTGAAGCACGATAAAGCAGATGAAGCTGTTTCGCGATGCGTGAAACATATTAAATTTAAAACAAGTGTACTGCACCACTGGAAAATATTTCACACGACGTCAATATTCTATCGTCGACGTCTTATGACATCATATTTTAATTAATTGTAAGCGCTACACAGTAGAGACAAAACTCATGTAACCCATCCTTATGTAATTTAGATTAAGTTAAAAAAAAATTGTTATGTATATAATCAATGTGAACTAGCCGAGCGACTCATCCGCGTAGAGTAACCTCACCGGTTTTCGGTTCGGCATGTGAATGTACAATGAACTGTAATTTTTTAGTATGATTTCAATAAATGAAAAAAAAAAAATTTTTTTATTTCTTTCAAATAGTTTTTACAAAGCAAATGTTCTTTTGCCATATAAATTCGGTGTTGAACACCCTTATCACTTAGCGTTATAAAGAATAGATAAAAACTTATTCTGAAACCTACTAATACACACAAAATTTCATCAAAATCGGTCGAAACATTTCGCATAACTATGGCAACTGAATCTGTGACAGACACGACAATCTCATAAATAAGATGTTACTATCTCTTCTTTATATTGGAAAAATAACAATTAGTAATATCATTAATAAGATATACAATAAATTATGTTTATTAAGTATTCTTTCTTCGCAATTTTATTAGTTTTAATTGATATTGTTTTATCAAAGCGTTCAAAAAAGAAGTGGTGTAATTAACTTGATAAGAAAACTTAATTGAACTGATACCTACAATATATATACAACAGTCGTTCTTAAATAGAACGGGACATGATGATTTTCATGATGTCAAATATTTATTATAAGATTCCGTAGAATATTTTTTTTCCGATTGAAAGTAAAACACTTTCAGTCGAAAAAAAAAACTCTATTTCTTATATATAAAATATTTTCTAAATATAATTAATCAAATAAATGTGAGGTTTTTTTTCTACAATAATGTCAATAAAAAGTAATGCTATCAATATTATTATACTTTACGTCTCTATCTTTATTTTTATCCTTGGATCTAATCTTTAGTTTATACCTATAATAAATAAACGTAGGCAACTGATCAACACGCGGAGTTGTTGTGGTCTCTACATAACTTTATGGTTGTTGGCTATCAAATGAGAAAATATAAATTGAATTGATGAACGTTATTCATTTAACAAAAGTGTAAATACTGATATCTACAAACAACTTTAAAACCCTTTACAGGTTCCGTTTCTGTAAAGATTCTCTGACCCCGGAACCTGTAAAGGGTCCGAAATATCTAAATCTAAATACAAACGCGATGAAACCGTTTAAAACTTGTTTCATTTATGGATAGTTCGTGAATGTGGATGGAATAAAGTCTTAAGCGAACATGGAACCTTTAAGGGGTCCGAAACGTCATAAAAGCAAATAAAAACGAAATAGAAACTGTTTAAAGTTGTTTTATTCAAAAGTGAAAATTTAATTATTTAGTGAAGACGGGATTCTTATTTGCAGACTCCAGTGCAAGCAAAAGATATAGTATCCAATTCATTGCATCAAAATTACATTATAAAAAAAACTTACAAATTTATTGAAGTAGAAAACAGAAAAGTTGTACTTTAATTATTTTATTTTTTCTTAATTAAAGCGTGAAGTATAGTGGAACGGAATTCGGGACGCTAAAATCCATTTTAATTTTGTAAGTTTTACCAACCTACTTTGTATAATATAACCCCTCGTGTTATAATCTACTAGTAGTAAATAATTCAATAAATTAAAAATAAAGGTAGACTGATAGAGACAGCTATCAAGCGATGAAACGGCATTTTTTACTATTATCTGGTTTTATTTACACTAATAAAAACTAGCTTTCCGCCAGCGGCTTTGGCCGCGTGTTCTTATATTATATATAAAAACCTTCCTTTTGATTCACCCTATCTATGAAAAAAACCGAATCAAAATCCGTTGCGTTGTTTTAAACATATAAGCATACATAGGTATAAAGGGACAGATAAAGCGACTTTATTTTATACTATGTAGTGATAGGTTGAAAGTTAAATATTATATTTTATAAATATTTCATGTAGCCAATAAAGTTGATTACCCATATAGAGCAACACACGTTTTAAGATAAGCTTCAATATTAATTTAACAGAAGTTACCGATCTTTCAATATAAATAAATACATTTTTTATTTGCATATTTCTAACTAGGATACCTGTAAACTAGTTTGTCTAAACTGGGCAATTACGATAACAGATAATTATGATTCATGGCTTTCACTAATTAGACACTCATTAAAATATATATTTTATCAAATTTCAATATTTGCATTATACAAAGTCATATAGGATATATGAGTAATCAATTTTTGATTATACAGATTGTAACGTGCAAAGCGCTCAGTATGGGGCAGTCTGAAACTATAAGACAGGCGGAGATTTCTTCTTAGAAACCGAATACTTCAGATCGTATAGGAAAATAAAATTTATATTATTTCTTTACTGACTTTATAGGTATTACAGCTGTTCAAATGTCCCTTAAAATTGTCATTAGTTTAAAGCAACGTTACCGATACAAATTTGATATCCATTAGAGCTTAAGAGTGTCGTTAAACCTTAGTGGACGTTTGTGCAACTGAACGTTTAATATTTGACGTAAATATGAAACATGATGACTGAAATATTACAAGCAACAACAGAGACAATTTTACGCAAATAAACGAGTTAATGTTGTATTGAAGAAAAGTGTTGTTATTTCAAACATACCAAAATAAATCATATAACTGTGTACCTATGTGGTCAATAAATATTTTTTCTTTCTTTCATATAAAAAATAATGCATTTTCACAATTGGAACCTAAGAAAAAACAACGTAAGATTTTTTTTCTTTTTAAACGTCGGGGTTCAGTTTACGAACTGATAACAAGTTTTTTTTTTTATTATTTCAACTTAAATCAATGACATGATTCCTAAGAACAGGTCTTCGATGTCTTATACCATAGGTCAGCGTGTCTTTGGATTGATGCATTTTACTTAGATTTTTGTTGGTTTATCCTTGCTGGATCCTAGATCTATCCCTCCCTGTCTCACTCGATGAGGAATCTTTACCAGATAGGCCACCATGCTTCAACCTGTCCTTCTTAGGGTGGTTGGACAGGCCTGTTTTAAGGCTTATCGTGTATTTCCTCGGTGTTACCAAAAAAGTTATTTTCATACTAGGTACACTGGCTCATAGTACATAGTATCTAAAGTTCGAGCCGAGTACTTGATCCCCTAGTTCACCTAGTATCATTGAAAGTTAATTTTACATTACTTATAATGATGATATAGTTGTTAGAGAAAACTTCTATAAAAAAAACCTACTAAAACTTTGTCCAAATATACTACGACCAATATCACATAGTACTTTGTCAGACTAGATGGCGCTTTATTATTGAAAATACTATTTACAAACAAATATGTCTGTCTTAAGTTGGTTTCTAACATTTTAACGTAACATATAAAGAACTCCTCTTATTCTATTCTTGCACTTATCTTAAATCAAAATTTTAACGTTGAGAATTATGAAATAGAAAAGGTAAGTACTAGGCGTCCATAACACGAACATGTAAGTAATTACGAATTCTATTACAAGTTAAGGCTCTGAAATAGTGAAGTTCACAGAAATACTAGTCGGTTAAAGTATCTGGTACATTGCTTTATTTCAGTCACTACGTCACACCTCTAATTTCAGGGGTGTAGGATTAATAAAAAACTATATATTATCTAATGTTATTGCGTTTGGGTCCATTTAATTATAATTAACTTAAAAGTAAGCAAAGTATTATCGTATAACGTAGCACCAAAGAAAAATACTTTACCCCAATATCCCATTCTCGGGCACCCGATACTGGTAAATTTTCTATTTAATATTCTACTAGATAGATATCTCCATTGTGTATTCAAAACTTAATAATTAACTAATCATCAAAATCTGATCTCACAAAATACGATATTCACTCATTGATAAAATTATGAACCCACAGAAAAGAAACTAATTAATAATAAAACATTTTTTGTAAGCAGTGATATCAATTGGAGATGGCCCATTGCTGAGTCTGAAATCAATCAATGAGTCATTATCTAACTTAAATTATTACTTGGGAAAAACGCAAGTTCATTTCCTATTATGACTGAAACCATGAATTCTAACCTGGTGTTGATCCTCGCTGTAGTAAAGACGTACTCGTTAGCTCCCCAAGACGCGAAGATGACAATTATCACAGTCAGCAGTACGGTCTTCACCTGGAACCATCCGAACTGTCCTATCTCATTCACTAAAATTGTGTCTAAATCTATAGACTTCTGTCCACTTTCAAGATTATCATTTGACGTTCCTTTTGCATCAGGGTTAGCCATAATTAATTTTTCTTATCTTAAATAATTCAAATTAACTTTAATTAATACTTTTTTGTATAATTCCTCGTCGTTTCTTTGATCGTCTAAAATAGTTTTACTAGATAAAATATATTTTATACGTGTATCATTAACAAAAATGCTACGTCAAATGAATTATAATAATTGTAAAGATAATTTATTTAATTGCATTATAACTCGTATCAAGTCTGATTTTAACTACAGCGCCATAAATTATAACAATATCTAGCAGAATCTACAGGCGTCTAAAGTCTGTGACATTATTTTTAATCATTTACCTATTTTATGTACAAACGAAGGCATGTAAGGTTTATACAAAGCTGCCAAAATTTCTCCATTAGATTTTAATTCTTTTAGCTTATAATGATTTGATTTGACCTCAATATACAACGTGTCCCAAAATTCAACGATAAGCGGGCGCCAAGAGGTA